AACCCAAATTGAACACGATTTTGACCTAATTTTCGACTCTTATAAATACAGAATTACCTTAATAAACAAAGTTAGTATAGGTAGAATATTCCAACTCTTTTATCGTGATATTGCAACTTGTTTTTATCTAAATAATTGAAGGCTTAGGCTGCTACACAAACACAAAAATATATTGAAATTTTAATTAAGTCAAGTCAATGGAGTTGTTATCTAATAAATGATGTATATGTAAATGTGTCAATTCATTCATAGGTAGATAAAGATTTAATTCAATCAAAATCCGTGAATGAATGTATTGTAATGTTTTAATTCATATGTTTTATTTCTTATGTAGGGAGTAATCGCATTTAGATAAGATTTTTTTAAAAAAATCATTATTTTAACTTGAATTGAATGGCTTCATTCAAGATGAAAAATAAAAGATTAATGTTGATTAGATTAGGGAGTCGCTATTTATAACCATTATTGTTATATATTTATCTCACTATACGTCTATCACTATTAAAATTTTAAAATTTCAAAAAAATATTATTTTCATCCACATCACATTCCAATATTATCCTTATTAAATTCATTCATTTAAATATTTTACATCCACACTATTTTTATATATCTATCCCATTATAATTCATTCAATACTTTCATATATCTATACACACTATCATTGCCATCAATATGCACGTCAAATTTATTTACTTGTTTTGATAATCCCTGCAGATTCGCTACCAATTTTTTGAATTCAAGAAAAAAATAATCCCAACAGAAAACTCAAAATCTTGTTTTGATAATCCTAGAAGAAAAGATAGTCATCAATATTTTTAATTCAAGAAAATCGAGAAACGAAAAGATAATCCTAATAGAAAACGCAAATAATTTGGAATGAAATTTCTTTCTAATACTATTTGAATTCAAAAGATACATTATTAAATATCTCAAAAGAATTTAATATTTAGTTAATATATATGTGATATTATCTAGCAATTTGGACTTTCAAAGCTGATCGTTTTTTATTAAACAATTTATTTTAACTATTTAATTTAATTTTTTTTCAACTCACTATAAAAAAACGTATATAAATTTTGACATAATCCAAATCTTAGAGCTAACTCTGTTTTTAGATCAAACAGTTTAATATGATATCAGAGCAGATAAAAATTATGAGAGTTTAGGTATCGTTGTCACTCATTTCATTAAACTAGTCAAAATTAAACGTGCATTGCACATTATTTAGAAATACTTTATAAGTGATGTAAAAGTAACGTTCGATACCAATTTGTTGAGCTCAAAATTAAATTTCTATGATTTAAATTTTTTGTGATAATGAAATACTACAAATGAGCAACATTTTTTATACTACATTTAAGTACATAAGAATTAATTTCTAATGCATAAATTTAACCACTCGTTAAAATTTCTAGATACGTGAATAAAAATAAATTTATCTATAATAATTCTAGATTCTTGTAAATCAAGATCCATCGAGTCAATATTTATTGAGTATAGATTGATGTGAATGTTAATTAATTGATAATTAATAACACATAATTCATACATAATAAGAATTTTGTAGTATTTATTACATATTGAAAAATTTTAAAAATGGTATTATTGAAATAATTGAATTATAATAAGGTTGAAAAAATAATTTGATGTGATATTTAATATATTATTATTATTATTATAAATTCGTACACATATTAGGTACTGCTAAACAGACAAAATCCGTCTACACTACACATGAACTAGCCCCTTGAAAATAATATTTTTATGTATGCATTTTCAATCAACGGCAGCCGGCTTCAAGAATTTTAAGGTAAAGTCAATTACTCTTAGAGTCCATTTGAATGCAATAGTGGAATTTGGGTGGGAAGAAAATGAATTTCAGGGAATTGAATTATCTAGAATTGTTTTTCTGGAAATTGTCAATTAATTGTGATTGATTGGTATAATTTTCCATCTGAAANAAATAATTGAATTATAATAAGGTTAAAGTCGTCTAAAACATAACTTGATGTGATATTTAATATATTATTATTATAAATTCGTACACATATTAGGTACTGCTAAACAAACAAAATCCGTCTACACTACACATGAACTAGCCCCTTGAAAATAATATTTTTATGTATGCATTTTCAATCAACGGCAGCTGGCTTCAAGAATTTTAAGGTAAAGTCAATTACTCTTAGAGTCCGTTTGATTGCAAGAGTGGAATTTTGGTGGGAAAAAATTGAATTTCAGGGAATTGAATTGCCTAGAATTGTTTTCTTAAGAATTGTCAATTAATTACGTTTGATTGGTATAATTTTCCACCTGAAAAATGTTGAAAATTTGGATCTTTTGGTGTTCGTTTGATTTTATTTTTTATGAAAATTGTCTATTAAAGGGATTTTTTTTT